GTGATCCAACCCGTCACACCTGGCTCCTAGCCTCCCTGTGACCAGTGTTGGGGGATCCTGGGACCGTGCACCCCCAACACGTGAGACACAGGGGCTATAGAAATGCAGCTAAATTGAAGCTGGAATTTGAATTTTCCCAGGAATAGATTCACAGATTATAAAGCCAGAATGAACCACTGTTAGCATCTACTCTGATCTCCTGTCTAACACCGGCCCTAAGACTTCCCTGAATTAATTCCTGCTTCGACTAGGGCAGCTCTTTTAGATCAACTTCCCATCCCTGGTTTTAAAACGGCCAGTGATGGAGGTGGCTAGAAACTGGAATATATAAATGAATTTCCTTTGCCTTAACTAAGTGTATCCCAATACCTTTAAACTTCGGTCAGTCAGGAAGCTCTTAAGAAATCCACCCATGTGTACATTTATTTTTCCTCTGTCTTCTTAAGGTGCTAAAGAACTCACCAAAGATCAGTCAGTGTGTCGACACGGGGAAATCTACCAGCGTAGTTACAGGGAATAATTAGATAGCCAGCATGATTCCCCATGTGACCACTCTGTACCACTTGGTTGTGGTATAAAGCAGAGAAACTATATTGTGGTATAATTACTCCACTATCGCTCTGCTGTTCAGTTTCCCCATGTAGACAAGCTGTTCAATCCTAAAGCTAAGAGCCTGTTTGCCTGTGGAGATCGATACATTGTATCCTGAGAGATAATTGCACAGCAAGACTAGGTTGCACAGTCAAGATTGGAAATTTGCCACTTTAAACCCGTTAGAAATGACCTGCGCTTTGAGCTAAAGAAAAGGGGAGGTTTCATAAATGGGATTTCTGATGTCACCAAAATCCGTGCCAAATATTTTCGCTTCCAATGCGAAACCCTACTTTTGTCTGTCTTTATGAATCCAATGCACATTCTCTACCTGTGGATAAACTACTGTCCCGTGCCTTCCATTTGGTGTGGCTTATTCTACAGCATGCTCCCAATGCTACAAAATGAAATAAAAAAACCTATTGAAACATATTGACCCGTTCAGAGGAACTGGAAAGGTTCTGTTTGGGTTTTCTTTTTGACTGATGGGTGCGCACGGATAGTGGGATGAACTGCAGGGGACAAGAAGGAAGGAAGCATGAAAAGGTATAAGCACCCAGCATGTACAGCTTTGAAGTATTAAAAGTTGTTGCTTAAAAGGGCAAATTCTCATTAGTTGTGCAGGTTAATACAGACACGTGATGACTGGCAAAGGATGAAACTGAAAAAATCCTCCCGTGAGAGAATCTCACCTGAAAAAGAGCTCGGAAAGTTTGTCTTTTTCACCCGGAGAAGCTGAGCCAAATAAAACAAACTAACTCACCCATCTTGTCTCGCTGAATGAGACATATCTGTGCTACGTCACCGCCATCTCCTGGACAGTGTCTGAAGCACCAGAGAAACCAGAGAACACCTCGTGACAAGTGTCTGATAGAAAGCAGAGGGCAGCAGTGTCCTTTGGGGTATAACAGGCCTGAAGTCTCCGAGGAGAACCTTAGAAGTGCTGAGCCCAGACTTGCGACCAGATCCCTGTGGCGCTTTGGACCAGCCTCTTCCATCCAGCCCAGGGTTACCAGGAACATGAAGCCGTGAGACGTCCTTTCAGAGATTGCATTTCTCCTTGTTTTATGTCAACTACCTGAACAATACCTGGCGAGACCTTCACGCGCTCCAGTGAGCTACCACGGGATCTCCAGAGATTTGTAGCTAGGGCTCTACTAAATTCATGGACATGAAAAATGCATCAGGGAGCATGGAATCTGGTCTCCCCTGTGAAATTTGGCTGGTGTACGGGAGGGACAGGGCTGGGGGCTCTTACCGTGCACCCGGCTCTAGATGCTAGTCCTGGCCAGGCTGGGGAGGGATGG